AGGAGCCCAATTTCATTTCCTTAGCAGTGTTTGCTTTCCTATTACTGGTCCTCCTACAGACATGACAGCAATATTTTATCCAAACTTGCCCTGGGCTTTATTGATAGATATGATTTCCTTATCAAATTGACAACATCAACATTTCTCAAGAAATGACATCTAGGACTACTACTTAAAGAAGTAAATACACCTTCATTGCCTGTTTGAGCATATGAAGAATTGCTGACCTGCAGCCTCCTCTATGAAATCTTCCTCATTTTCCAGTATAATTCAGAAACAGTTTCTCAATTGGGTTCTCAATCCCAAACTTGTTCTTTGGACACCTCTAGACTACACCTGCAAACCACTGGTGCCAATCCAAGGAAGGCCCTACCCCTACGTAGTCTGAGGGGTACTTCATCTTCATGCGAATCACAGTAACACAAACAAAGCCCCCTCTCCTGGGCTTTTTGATTCATTGCAATGGCTCTACTTTCTTACCAAGTCCCATCCACTGCCTGTATTCAAGGGCAGCTTGGCCAAACTCAGTAACGAGTGGGACAGTTGAAAGAATGTTTTCCCAGTTACACAAGTGAAAGGCAGAACATGATGTACACGTGACACGAGGCTGCCCATAACATGTAAAAATGCATTCAGACTTGTAAAATAAAACTACTCTGGGAATATTTCATCAACAGAGAAGCCAGTCAGGATATCTGGCAAAAACGAAGAGATTAGTAGTCCAAATGACAATCAGGCAATAAAGATCTTGTTATTTGTCATTACGACCAGAGCTTGGCTGATTAACAAGATGGTAGGCAATGTCACTGGCCCTTCACCTCGGAAGGCCTTGTTTCCCTTCAGCCTGTACAAGCTCCTCCAAAAGGCTAAGATCCTGTGTGCCCTCACAGGTGACTCCACCCCCTCTAATGCTGAGCACTCACGTTTAATAAAACTTTCCGTTCGCCTGAGCCTTGGACAGGACGTTTCTTTAGGCTTTGGCCAGAGTCAAATGAGAAGCCTCATTCTAATTTCCATTCTCAAGCTGATGGCTCTTTTCCAAGATCTAAGTATTTTCCCACACAGAGCCCAAGCCTGTCATCCAAATTCAATAAGCACTTCACCTAAGTAAGGATTGCACAATAACTTTATTGGCAATATTAGTGATAACATGGTGAAGTTACTGACTCAGTGTCCTCAGACTAGTCATCACAATATTTGCATTGCCATTGTGTTACTTTTCTGTGTGGTAATTAACTGGCTTTTGTAAAATTATTTCATCAAATCTTAAACATTTTCCAGAGAAGAAAAAAAAATCAGAATCGGTTTGTAGCCTCCTGTTACAGAGAGGAATAAACCAAGGCAGAGGAAAGTCAAGTGAATCGCACAAGGTTAGATGCTACTGCAATCAAAATTAGAGCTCAGTTACCTGAAATCCTGATCTGTGCCCTGCCCATTGATATGTTCTGCTTGAGGAAAAAGAAGCAAGCCTGCTGTATGTGCAGAAATTACCAACAGGTGCTCTCATTGCACTTGAACCACATCCCATCCAGGTCTCCATGCAGTGCTGCGTGACCTGGTCCTACCCAATGGCTTTTGTTCAGCATGGAGGACAAGCGCCTTTCGCCTTTCTTCTAGCACTGCTTGCAGGAAGTAAATCTTAACTTGAATGTACAGTAAACACCCGTAGGTATTAACAATCTTTAAAACAAGGCAAATATTTACCCGTAACACACTGCAGATCACCTTATTTTAAACACAAAGCTTGATAATAATTTTGACTGTACATAGTTTGTGGCTACTATCAGCAGCTTGAATGGTTTCTGCCCTGAGAAGGAATCATGACATTTTGTCAGTGACACACTGTAATATCAACTGTACGTTCCTCAAAGTACATCATATTTTTCTTATGGTAACAGAGCTTATCTTTAGCTACAGATATCATTCCATACAAGAACATAAACTGCTTTATGCAGAACAGCATTTCCTTTGACTAAGTTTCTTTCTGATTTCACTAGCTGTAAAACATGATCTGTAGTTCAAGTGAGGTGTCAGACAGGTGAAGTGTCCTCATTAAGGGTACTCAATTAGTCATCATAAGAATAGGCAAAGTTTATTAATAAAGCTGTATCATTCAGTTTGAAAAAGGTTTTTGGACTAAATGCCACCTTTTGTTCTATTTTTGTCCAGTGCCTTAACACCACAGGGCTGGGACCTCCATGACCATCACATAGTGAATAGTAGTAATGGACAAATGATCACTAATAAAAGGATAATCCCACTATTGACTGAAAATATAAACCATTTCTTGAAGAGGTCCCTTGATTGCTACCATAGGATCAGATCTGCAAGACTAATTACTGTGTGCACACAGCAGCCACATGCTTTCCTCAGTGACAGAGGTCATTTATATACTTCACCACCAGCATAGCAAGCTTGTTTTACCTGCATCTGCTCAAAGGTAAAATCCAGACAGAACAGCATGGCCAGACACACAGACGCTATTTGCATTAAGGTGGCATTCTGTAGCTCAAATCCAGGCGAGAACCACGTTGGCTGCGGGACTACATTTCTTGGGGGAAGGAGTCCATGCCTCCGCAAGCAGTTGAGCACAGGCATCGTTGTTCCAATCAAGTCAGCCGCAGCAGTATACGTGGACTGGACTACGCCAGCCAAGACTCCTCAGTACCAAAAGTAAAGTCAGCTCTTGTCAGCTTGCAGGAGCTGAGTTGATTGTACTGGTGGTCTCAAATCCAGGTTCTATTGAAAAATTACCTTATTTTACACTTTTTACAGGCCTCTTCTAGTACTTTGATAATCTGAAGACTGAATTGGTTCTTCTCCCTCTCCCCCACAACCTCAACTGCTGTCTCCATTTTTAGGTTGCGACAATGTTTACAATACATGGTCTGCTTTGCACTTAGAAAAAGCCAGATCTTGAAGGCCACCATAATACCTTCCACAAGGGCAGAATCTTATGATCCTTAAATAAATCATCTTGATATTAAAAAAAGGTACTTGTTTTCTAGGTTACAGTCTCCAAAAAAGAGAACTTTTAAAAATTGTGTTCTTCAGAACATTTCACTTGTCTGGGTTGGCCCTTGATAATCCAGTTTGTTACTGCATAATGAGTTTATCTGTCTCTTAATTACAGTCCTGACAGAGATAATGGCCAATGATTGCTTATAAATCTTTTGCTGCAATGTTTCTTCCAAAGCCCCTGGTTTGTACTATGTTCTTAATAAAATCATAGTACAGCAACGGTATGATAAAATAAAGATCACCTGGGCATTCATTTTTAGTAGTCTAAGTTAGCTTAACTGTGTAATAATTTACTTGAAAGCTACAGGAATCAGAGGCAAATCCAAATCACATGTGGGTTTAATAAAAAGAATTTAGATCCAGCAATCTCTCATCTGCCCCCAAGGCACTTGCCCAGGCACTGCTCAGGTGGAGCTTGCTGTAAGTTTTGGCAGAGCTCTGCACGTCTTTGAAACAGATAAAAGGATGGACACCACACTGTGAGCACCCGCTCCTCACATCCCACAGCTTCACAGCTAACAGCCAACTTTTTCAGCTACTGCAGATACTCTTCACTCAATTTTGCATGCAGCAATGATGACCCCTAACGGTGGAATATTTCTTCTGCTGAGCGATATGCAGAGATTTTGCTTTTTAATGTGTATTTCTACTTAAAGTAATTACAACATCCTCTTGCAGACCACCAGCAGTGTAAACAGCTTGAGATTGATTTCAATCGTAACAGAGAAGCAGCTTCTTTGCCTGTTTAACTCTTTCTGACTTTGTACATGGAAACATCAAAAGTGAAATGCATAAAACCTGGACTTAGATCTGGAATAAAGTCACCTTTTTTTTCTGAGGCAGACTATTTTGCAGAAGTAAATTTCAGTCACACTGGTGTGAATTATCTCTGCAGAAAGTCTTCAGAAAAGAGGACGAGACATTTTTCTCTAGATCCAACCAGCATGCCAGTACGCCAGAAAGCAAACAGCATGTCCCCAAAAAGCTTCTTTGAAGCCTTGTGTCAGCTATCAGATAATGCTGCAGTTGCAGCACCTTTGATACCCAGTGATCTTTTCATCAGAATCAAGTAATCACCACGAACAAAAATTATTTTCTTATTTCCAAAGTTATAAAATAATGTCATTCTAGTGTTAATTCAACATTGTAAGTGCATGTAGAGTATAAAAATCTCATACAATTTTTAAAGTCCGAAATGCTTAAAGTTTTTTGTTTTTTAAATCCAAGTACATCTCAAAGCCTTTTAACTCCTACTGGAATCTATTTCTACATCTGGGCTGGGAAGAGAAGGTAATTCTGAGTTGTGTTAGAGATGCCAGGTACATAAAACTAAGTCTCATTTTTCTCTTGGGAGAGATGAATATCGTTATGTGCCCCATTTTAGCTTGCCTGACACTTGCATCAACAGCAAGATAAAGCACAAGGTAACTGTATTACCCAGGCCTGACCTAAATCTGTCAATTTTCTCCAGGTTGAGATAAACACACAGCTCTTAAAAGAAAAGAGTTGAGAGTCCCTGGCAGCTTAGTGATTTGTTTACTTTCTTTTAGCAATATTATAACACAGAAGTTGTGCTAGATTTCACTCGAGTCTACAAAGCACAGAGCCTTCACCTAAATAAACAAAAACATAGAGATATTTCCAGACTGCTCAAGAACAAGTACATTTTCAAACCTGGGTATCTTCTTCTATGGTAATAGTAGTTAAAAGTCACACAGCTAAGTACCTACTAGGAAAAAAAAAAATGAAGACATGCTTCAGAAACGTGTCTTTACTGAACTGGCAATTTGGTTTGGACAGTAAAGTATGTAAGTCCATTTTTTAAAATCAGAATCTAACCACTGAATTTTTTTCATTACCTTTATTACCATTACTTTTGGGGGTTGTTTGTTTTTTGTTTCTTTTAGGTTGTTTTTTTTTGTGTGTCTTTTTTTTTTAGTAACAAAAATTACTGCAACTACTTCATCATCCTGGCTTACCTTTCTCACATCTGAGCTCTTTGGTTCTGTTGTCCAAGTTATAATTCTAGATACAGCAAGTCTTGTCTCACTGGAGTTCACAAAATCTGTCGGATCCATCTGTCTTGCCAAGGACTCAATATACTTCAGGATAGCAACTTTCACCTGAGAAGTGAAAAGTTGATCTCATGAGCTGGCAAAGATGTATTTATCCCATAATAAACAGATACCACTACAGATTGACAAGACCTATGTAAATGGGGGAAAAAATATCCCTGTGACATATCTCTGTCATGTCTCAAAAATCAAGAGCAGCTTTTTACACAGGATAAATTTTGCGTAGTAAGAGTCTGGAATGGTTTATCAGAACTGGCCTGAAATACATATGTCTGCTCGTGCATTTGCATAGCAGATCGGTACTCCACCACACTGTTTCTATGAGTGGTTATTGTTCTAGATGCCAAACCATAGCTTTTGGTCTCAGACCAAACACCTGATTGCTGGAGTCTCAAAAGATCCAAAATGTGGGAGACCGAAAAAGAAGACTTGAGTCATTTGGCATCCTGTATATTCCTGTCTCTGGAAGATAAATGTGTATGACCTTCAGAGTTTACAGTGTTCCTATAGCCTTGAAACAGCCACCTCCTGAAAAGCAGTCTGCACAACGGTATCCTTTTGGGAGGATTTAGTAAGAGGAAAGCTCTGATGTTGTTTTCTCCAAACCCTGCATGTGCTATGTCTGATCCGTACAACAAGCACTTGTTAAGGTGTGCCCAGGGTCCCAGCTTCCCAGCTGTTCGAGACAGGGTCTGGTCCCTTCTGTTATGCACAGCCAGGTTTTCTTCTCACCAAGACCAGGGTGAAGAGGAATTTTCCATGTCTGAACTTTACTCTAATACATTCCAGTGCGCTTTAAGCCCAACTTTGACTGATGTGTGATGAGTCACAGGGCCCTATTTTAAAGGTATTTAGATTTATTAAAATGGAGAACAAGAGAGTTAATCAAAGTTGCCAATATATCATGCAGGTGCTTACAATTAATTATCTTATCATGAGTTCTAGGCTTCATTTTATGCCTGACATGGCAAGCTGAGACAACCATGTTGATGCTTTAGTGAACAAACTTTTGATACTGACCTTCAGGTTCGGGGTTTGGGTCTGATCTACAATAAACCTCATCAAAATGTTAAATTGTTGATCAAATGGAAAAGAATCCCTGTCCAAAGAAAACAAAGGCAAAAATGTAATGCAACATAAATTTTCAAACTAAATTAACTCGATATATTAAAGCTTATACAACAGATTTCAACACCTATCACACTTTTCTTAACTTTACCATCAACCAGAGAAACTCCAAGTCTAAGGATTAGCTGATTGATTTAATACTGGAGAAAACTGCTAAATCAACACCTTTATACACTGCTATTCTACCTGTTCTCTGTATACTTACCAAGCTTTTGGCACACCTGTCCATTCCT